GCTCTTCTCCTCCTCGCTGGACAGCAGCCTCTGGAGCAGGGCGGGACAGCAAGGAAGACTTGACCTGAGGCCCTGAGCCTCCCAGCCCTCACCGCCCAGGGGCGCCCGCCCGCAGCCCTCAGAGAGCGTGGAAAGCTGCCGCTGCGTTTGGACAGCTGAGCGCTGACCATCTGACAGGCAGTTATGAAACATGAAAGGCCACTGAGTTAATGCCAACTCACAGCAACCCTTAAAAGCGGATCCTTGGGGTCCAGGGACACCACCACCCCAGAGAAACCTTTTCTCCAGGTAGGCCCGAGTCGAACGTGGACAGGCTGTGGGGCTTTACTCTGGTCCCCAAAACCAGATCGAGAGGGGCGTGCGCCCAGTCAGGACAGAGGCTGCCCTGGCACGCCCGCCTGTAAGCGGGGCCCCTCTGATGGGTCTCAGCATCCAGCCCCAGCAGCCGCCTCTCCCACGCCCAGGAGAGTCCTCCACACCCACCATCCCACCACGCCCCATGTAACGGATGCACTGTGCCACACATTCCACTCCTCGTCAATGTGGAAGCGGTTTTTAGCAACTTCGGAAAGGTCAAGCAGCAGTGACATCCCAGTGGTAGGGAGGGGGCTGCTCCTCAGAAGAGGGCTCCCATGACCACCCACCCCACTCCCAGGCCCAGCGCCGAGGAGGAGGTCAGCGTCCTCTCAGATGGCGAGCCTCCTAAATCAACAGGCTGGTAGCAGAGACCCAGGTGGGGCCAGGCCAGGGTGCCTGGAGACAGCCTTTAAAGTCGCCCCCACCCCACACGATAGGGTCAGGGAGTCCCTGCTTACCTTCAAAGCATACTCTTTACCACTGCCAAGGTCCTGAGCTTCGTAGACAAATGCAAACCCCCCTGCAAGATTAAAAAGGCCACATCAGTTCAGGGCCGGGATTTGATGACTGCCGTATTCAGCGAATGGCGAAGAAAAGGCGCTGGTGGAGGACGTGTGAGGGAAGTGCCCTTGCCCTCGTGGGCAGGGTGGGTTTCTACACCAAGTACAGCACCAACTCCTCTCGCAAGGGCTGCTGGGCCTGTTCTGTTTCAGACACAGGGAGGATGGAACCAGCCAGACAGAGATCCGTCACAGCCCGGGGAAGTGGGGTCACCAACAAAACCAAAAGGCAGCTCTCTGAAAACAAGCTGGGGACACGGATGAATCCCAGCTAGAATACTTGAGGAAAGAGCGTGCCGAGAAAAAACAAGCTCTCAAATGAAGAGCACACCCCACCCTCAGACCCCAAAGAGAAACCACTATCCAGGGAAAACTGACCTGGAAACAGAGTAGGTGGTGGCGACCCCCAGGGACTGAGATCACGCGAGTGGACAAACACGTTCTTAGTCAAATACCACAAAGCAACTCTGGTTATGGGCACACAGGCCAATGCGACACGGCCAAGGGCCCATCTGGTTAGCAGCCCAGCCCCTGACCACTGTGCCATGGGAGACTGGCTCAGAAAAAACGAAGCCATATCACAGTGGCCTTATGCTCACCGCAAGGTCAGCAGCTGGAAGCCCATGCGCTCCTCCAGAGAGAGAGGGTGCTTTCTACTCCCTCCTGTGAAGAAAGAGTCAGGGTCTCGGAGACCCAGGGCAGCCCTCCTGGGTCCGTCCCACAGGTGCGGTGAGTTGGCATGGACTAGACGGCAGGGAGTCTGGTTTGGGTGCACACAGAGCCTCAGACGTGTCCCCAGCAGCTGACTCATACTCTCCACGCTTGGCGACAACCCAAATGTCCACCAGGAAGCAGATGAGGAAATAAATGGTGCTGCAGCCCCAGGAGGGACCACCGCTCAGCAAGAGGTAGGAGGAGGTACATGCAGCTCTGAGGGTGACTCTCAAAATTCTATAGTGAGCCAGAAAGGCTCAGGAAAAGGGGATTGATTATATACATATGATCTCATTTATAAAACGACTCTAGCAAACCTACAAATCTATGTTCGAGAAAGCAGAGCTGTGTTTACCTGGAAGGGGAAGGAGAGGCAGAGGAAAGGATTACCATGTGGCACAAGAGAACATGGCAGATGAGTGGATATGCTTGCTACCTGGGCTTCAGTGATAGCTAAACCGTGTATCAAAAACCCACTGCCCTTCATTCCATTCCAACTGATAAGCACAAAAACCTCACTGCCAGAGGCGATTCCGACCCACAGAGACCTTACAAGACAGGATAGACCTGCCCCGGTGTGTTTCTGAGATGGTAACTCTCTATAAGAGTAGAAGCCTCGTCTTTCTCCCAAGGAGCAGCTGCCGGTTTTGAACTGCTGACCTTGTGGGTAGCAGCCCAACATGTAACCACTGTGCTTCCAGGGCTCCTATAGTGATCCTATACCCTATAGTGACCCGAAACTACACATTTTTATGGGAGCAGACAGCCTCATCTTTCTCCTACAAAGTGGCTAGTGGGTTTAAACCATCAACCTTGCCATTAGCAGTCAAGCACCTTTCCCACAGTGCCACCAGGGCTCCCTTTATGCAGATGCATACGTAAGGTCAGAACACTGTATGTGCAGTTCTTTATGTTGTACGTCACTTAGACTTGGATTCAGCTGCTAAAAATTAAAATACAACCAATGAAAGAAAATCAATGCAACAGAAAACAAGTAGAGAAGACAGACAAAACAAAAAGGCCCATGTCACAAGATCGCAATGAGCCCCTGAAACGGGTAGCATCCCTACAGACCCGGCCAGTACAGAAAGCAGATGTTCGGACAACTTCCTGTCAGTACATTCAGGTGAGGGTTTAAGTGAAGCTCATGAAAAACACCAGCTGCCAAAACGGGCACAAGGAGTAGACCCCACAGAGTCCCACTTCAAAGACGTATGAAGCTGCCTCAACAGAAAACTGCAAATTCCATGACACCTTTGAGAAATCTGAAGATGGTATTCAAAATCTTCCTTATGCGAGACCGGGAGAAATATTCCACAGCCCGCTTTGTGAGGCCAGGCTAACTAAATGCAAAGAAGGATATAAAAACACATCTGATCAACAACTCACTCACTGCCATCAACTTTGAGCGACGGTCTCGGGCAGAGTGGAGCTGCCCCGTGGGTTTCTGAAGCTGCGCATCTCTGAGAACAGAAAGGCTCACCTTTCTCCCTTGGGGCGGCTGATGGCTGAACACTTGGCTTGCAGTTACTAGTGCCACCCATAACCCACCAGGCCTCCTTACATCACTCATTACCAAAGACATACAAGTTTCCAACAGAAGATTACCAGTCAGTCTGCTCTGGTAACACAGAGTCAAACCAATCAATAAAAAGCAAATGGAGTTTTAGCCCAAGAATGCAGGGCTGGCACACCATTCAAAGATCAATCCCTACAGTGGCGGCACGCTGGGTTACACATCCAGCAGGTCAGTGGTTTGACCCCGCCAGACGTTGCATGGGAGAAAGATGGCCGTCTCCTTCCATAAAGATTACTGCCAATGGGGTAACATGTCCCAAAGGGTCGCTATGAGTTGGCATCAACTCAACAGGACAAGTTTAACAGGGTGTTACACCACAGTAACAGAATTAAAAGCCACCAAATCATCTACGGTAAGTAGATGTCAGCATTTGTCAAGATTCACTACCCACCTCGAATTTTTAGAATAACAATACACTGACGCTCAGCAAGTTAGAAACAGATGGGAACTTCCTCCATCAGAGAAATGATGGCCCTTCAGAAAACATCCCACTAACCTGACTCCCTAGTGCCTTTTTTCGACGATCAGGACCAAAGCCAGGCAATACAAATTAAAGCCACAATTAGATGGCCATGGCACAATGGCCCAAATGAAAAAGTGACCGCACTCAATGTTGGTGAGGATGCAGAGAACAGAATCATTCATTCACTTCTGGGAGGAATATAACACAGTATAGCCACTGAGAAAAATGTGCTGGCCGTTTCCTTGAAAACTGAACATGAGCTACATACAGCCCTTCAACCACACTCGCCCAAGAAAGGGAAATGCAGGGCTCATGCAGCAAGCACAAATGCATGACTCTTTATGCCGGCAACACCACCAACAGCCCAGACACGAAAACCAAGCCAAGTTCCCTGCCACCGGGTCAGTAATTCTGAATGTTATCACCCTCAAATCATCCGTGGTCCGTGGTTAAAACAAAGTATACAGCATCCAGTGTGGGCTGACCACGAACTGAGATACATTCAGGGCACTGTGTGAGTGAAAAAAGCCAATCACCTTACCCACTGAGACCAGAAGAAACTGATGGTGCCCAGCTTCCACCATAGAACGTTTGATCAAAGATTCTTTTTGTATGTTGTTGCTGGTTTTGTTTTGTTTTTTGGCTGTATATAAAATCCAGGAGAGGTAAATCTATAGAGACAGTAACTGGATTAACAGTTTCTTGAGGTTATGGCCGGAAAGGCTTGGGGAAAATGGGGGAGTCAGCCCTGGTGGTGAAGTGGTTACACGTTGGGCTGTGATCCACAAGGTCGGCAGTTTGAAATCATCAGCAGCCCCGCAGGAGAAAGCCAGCTTTCTACTCCCGTAACAGTTACAGTCTCGGAAACCTAGCGGGGCACTGTGAGCGGGCACTGTGCGATGGCAGTGCACATTTTGAGAATGACAAGAACAAGAAAGAACATGTTCTAAAAATGATTGCAGTGATATGTTAACAAAACTGTAAAAATAAATTTTAAAACAGCATCAAAGATTCTGTTACACAGAACCCGGTCAACGAGGGGAAAATGTAAAATTTTCAAATTCTGAAGACGGAATCATTTCCTAAAACTTCTGCTCTGAGATCATCTTTAAATCAAAACCTTTAAACCAAAAGATAGCCCCTCAAGTCTTCTGGAAACCAAGTAAACCAAAGCCCACCCCCTGCCATCGGGTAAATTCTGGTGGCACTGTAAGACAGAAGGGAACAGTCCCTTGGGGTTTCCAAGGCTGCACATCTTTACCAAAGCAGAGCCTCACCTTCTCAAGTGGAGAAGCTGGTGGGTTTCGACTGCTGACCTTGTGCTTAGTGGTCCAACAGGTAACCCACAGTGACCTACAAGACAGGGTAGGACTGCCCTGCGGGTTTCCAAGACCATAACTCTGTTGTTGTTGTTGTTAACGCTATTAGGTGCCAAGGAATCAGTTCCAACCCACAACCACCGTAGGCACAACAGAACAACACAGTCCAGTCCTTTGCCATCCTCACTGCTGTTCCCGTCTGTGCCGTTACTGTTGCAGCCACCGTGTCCACCCCTCTCCCCCAGGGTCTTCCTCTCACTGACCCTCTACTTGACCGAGCAAGGTGTCCTTTTTCAGGGGCTGGCCCCCTCCTGAAAACATGTACAAAGTTCATGGCCAGATGAAGTCTCGCTCTCACCATCCCCGCCCCTAAGGAGCATTCTGGCTGTACTTCTTCCAAGGTAGATCTGTTTGTCCTTCAGAAAGTTACGCGTAGTTCTACAAAAACAAACAGGCAAGCAAACAAAAATGAGCAACCAACTGAACACCTCCTGGAACTGCTTGCTTGGGGCTTCACAATCACAGCAGCCATCTTCCAAACTTCTTGGCACAAACGAGTGAGCCCTTCTAGAGTGACAGCCATTGCACGGAACATCTCAAGTGGTATTCCACTGCCTCTGGAATCTTCTTCTTCTCCAATTGCTAATCATATGCTTCCACCTTAAATGCCACATGGTAATCTGTTTTGGAAAAGTGGCTCTGTGTATTCCTTTTTGTTCTGTTGATGGTTCCTGTGATGCTCAGTTGTTGGCCCATGGAATCCTTCAATGCTACAAGTCATGGCTTGAATTCTTTTCTTCCGTTGTTTCAGCTTGAGGTGTGCGGAGCATGCTCTGCCCTTGTGGCTTCCCAATTCCAGGTCTCTGCGTAACTTATCACCTTCTCTTCTCGAGTTGCCTTTTGACATTTTCTCTTTAGCTTTTACTGCCGCTTCTCCTGCTCACTTTGTTACTCTGAGCTCAAGGACAAGTTTCAGTCTTCTCTGACATCACTTTGGTTTCTTTCTTTCTTTCCTGTACTTTCAGGCCCTTTGCTTTCTTCAAGTATGATCTTCCTGGTGCCTTCCACCGCTCGTCTGGTCTCTGCTCACATCTGCTCTGAGGGGGGCGTTTCAAGAAGAAAGGGGTTCTGCAGTGTACTCTCTGAGTTAGGCTTTGAGTCCAGGGACAGGCACAAAGGAGAAACAGGCTAATGAAACGATCCAAAGAGACGACTTGAGCAGGTGACTAAGGGGCTTGAGGACCAGGGGCTGAGTCACACTTGCTATGTGGCAGGAGGGCGAACTCCTGGGTTACTGTGCCACTTTCACACCCAGGAAACCCGTATCAGCTGCTATTTGATGAGGTTCTTGACACCCCCCACCCCCCACCCCAAGCCCCCCTTCTTCCATGAAGCTAGTTTCAGAGGTTTCTGCACCTTCCTGAGGTCTGCCTGCAACACAGATCCTACAACAGTCAGTCTGCACCAGCCATTTCCTGCCTCATTCACCAACCCAGACAAGTCAAGCCAGGAGCCCTCGGGAGGGGAGTCCAGGGGGCAGAGGGGACACAAGGCTAGGTCTGCATTGGAGCAGCCACTGGAGCGCGTGTGGACTCTGCCCTCAGTTCTGCATTGCAAGGAAAATACAAGTTTCTGAGGAGTCGCAGGAAGGTTGTGCAGGAAGGTTGTGCAGCGCCCTCACATGCCACTGATTCCTCTGTGTTACATAGTGTCCAATCAAAGGACTTCGTGATGTGTAACACCAGTCAAATACAATGAAACAGGCTACATCCAGTTGACAACTGTATTTAGTAGCACTGTGCCTGGTGCGGTTGTAGGTTAACTATCAGGCTGCTAGCCCAAAAGCCAGTGGTTCCAAACCGCCAGGCACGGGGAGGGAGAAAGACGAGGCTGTCTGAGAGCAGACAGATTCACATAGGTCTCAGAAACCCTGCACGGGACAGCGACGCATCAGAACCTACTCCATGGTGGTGGGCATGGTCTGGGGACTGAATGACCACCTTACATGGCATGCAAATGCTCAAAGCTCAGCATTACCTGATATTGCCCCTTACGCCAAATCCAGCACACAGGTGAGCTACATGTTACCAGGTGCCCTCGGCACTGCCTTCCTGAAATGAAGAGCTACCTCACGGTGCTCTCTCACCCTGCTCACGCCCAATCTTCCCTGGCACACACAGACACTCACAGCAGATTGTTTCGGACTGATACGCATAATAGCGCCTCATCAGACACAATGAGAGAGGTCACCCTGCATCCACAGCCACACACACCACTGCTTTTGTGGAATACAGCAGTGCTCCAGAGACCAGCTCCGCCGACCTCCACAGCAGTACACTCCAGCCAGCAAAACCTTCCCACAGTGCTACTCCCCAGGCCCGGTTACCCTTCCTCCAGACCCAGTCCCCAGACCCAGTTGCCCTTCCTCCAGACCAGGCCCCAGGACCAGTTACCCTCCCCCAGGCCCAGGCCCCAGGCCCAGTTGCCCTTCCTGGAAGAAGGAAGCCACAGAGACGTGCATCTCTACCTCGAATCCCTGTGGCCTAGACACCTCTGATATTGTGAGCATTGGGAACTTGCTTCTTGAAGACAATATGGACTTAGAATACACAGGGAGAAGAAACTACAAAGCTACCAGCCTCCGATGCTCTGTCCCATTACCCAGCAAATAAAAAACCCAAACCCATCACCTACCGAGTCGATTCCAGCCCATAGCACCCTCGTAGCCCGGGTAGAGCTCCCCACAGGGTTTTGGAGCCTGTCATCTGGGGAGCAAGCAGCCTCAGCTTTCTTCTGTGCAGCATTGGTGAACTTGAACCTAACACTGGCTTATTTCCTCATTTCGTTTTCTGAAAGAGGCTTCAGAATGCTTAGTGGCTATCAAGTTTAAAGGCAGGCCTCTGGCCCAGCCCCACACAATTGGCTGGTTATTTTCACTTCCGACTGACTGGCTTACAAAGCCAGCGGTAGGCTTTGGGAGGCGGGACAGGACCGCAGCCTCTGGCCACATTTCCTGGTTCCTCTTCCTGGGTGTCCAGGGATGGGCGGGGCCTCCAGCTGAAGGCACAGCTTCCCACCTGCCTGCCTCCTGACACACAGCTTCTTCAAGGTCTTGCAAGGTGAGCTGGCACCTTCTTGGCCACCCGGGCCCCTAGCCCTCAGCACCCCAAGAGTGGCCTATAGAACTCCCCTAATCCTCCCATTCCTTACTGAGCCTCTCTGTCCCTGGCGCTCTCCTTGATGGACCAACCCACACCCCCAGCTGTGATCAACCCCAACAGCAACCCCCCCATCCCCGATGGCGACCCTCACCCCCAGAGGTGACCCAACAGATGCCCCCTTGATGTATCCCTTTCCCTCAATACCCACCCCCGGAGGTGAGCCTCCATGCCCCAGGGAAAAGCCCCCAGCACCGAAAGGCCATCTCCCAACCACACCACACCCCAGCCCTTCCCCATCCCCTCCCGGTGAGAACCCTGCCCGAGTGGCCCTGTGGTCCCTGGGGCGGTCTGCATGCTCTAAATCTCCCCAAAAGCAGAAGGCAGGTGCACCCTGCCTCCCCAGATCTTCAGCAGGAGTGTCCCCAACTGGGGAGCCTCTTTCAGGTCTGCAGGGATAAGGGGGGCCCTCGTGGCAGAGGGGCTGGCCAGCCCCGTGGGGGTTCTCAGCCAAGCATCCTGATCACCGTTGGGGGGTGGGGGAAAGAGCATCTAAGGGTGCTGAGCCAGTCCTGGAATGCAGGTCTCCCTGCTGCACTAAAGGAGACCCTCGTTCCTGCAAAGCTCTGTCAGCTGGAAGTGGCCAACACGGGTGGGCGGCAGGACCGTCATTAGTTTACACTAATTCCCAGACCTCGATCCACCGCTCCGGGAAAAACGACCTACCAAGTCACACCCTGCAACACAAACAGCCTCAACTATCACGGAACAGGCCGACGCTGTGGCTGCGACAATGGGCTCAAACACAGGGACAAGTGTGAGGACGGTGGGGCCGGGTGGTATTTCCTTCTGTTGTGCAGAGGACGGGAAACGACTGGTGACACCAGTCAACCACACGGTAGCACACCAGTACCACATGTGGTAGGTATGCAGAGCAGTGACAGCCCATGGGAACAGTGCCACTCCTGGGAAAGGGCAGACGCTCAATGCTAGTCTGGCTTTCTGCCCATTTTTTGTTCTAAAAGCAAACATCCTCTTCGGCTTTCTCCCGTCTGCATTTGCAACGTGGGGATGTCTGTGGCTACGTGAGACTGGTGAGTGGGGTGACCTCTCCTGAGACCCTCTAGCAGGGATGGAGGTGAGCTTCACCTCCAAGGTTCCACGGGGCTCCACCCTGCACTGTGGGTGCAGAGCTGGCTGCAGGTTGTATCCCCGCTTCAGCGCACACACCTGAAGTCAACCGTGAAACCTGACTCACACCTGTGTGAAACATAGCCTGAGAGGAAAGGCCTGCACCGATGTGATGGGAAGTTCCGTGTGAGGGGAGGAATGTTCAGGAAGCAAAAGGTAGCGTGCGGAAATGGACGCAAGCAAAGACCGCTGAAAACACCCCAGGGGACTGACCTGTTGAACCTGTCTTTCCCATGGAATGTGTGCTCGGTGGGAGGCGGAGTGGGGAACAGGTGCAGAGGCACACTAGGGCTCTGGGGCACCCAGCTGAGAGGGAGGGGCTTATCATCACCTCTAAGTCTCAGAATTTATGAGAGCTAGACCCTGCCATCCAGAAGTGGGAGCTCGTCGCCATCCCCATCACACCACGGACTTACGTGTGAAGTAAAGGGACCCAGCTTACCCCGTCAGCCATAACCTGTCACCTTCAGACCTCAGCCCTTTCAGTTAAGATGACCTTGCCCTAAACCTGGCCCCCTAAATCCGGCCACGAACTACCCAGCCCCAGCCCTGCCTTGGCACCTGCAGTCACCGGGAGGTGACCCGGAGGGCGTGGCCTCGGCGCTGGCTTCTCAAAGCAGGCCAAACAGGGAAGTGGTGCCCCTCCTACCATGCCGGCCCAGATTTCCGACCCTCGGGCGACAATACGATCCTGCTGAGGAGACAATCCCTGTCCCCCCGAGTTGTAACTCACGCCTGGGGTAGGGCGAGGGGGTGATTTTCCCAGGCCGGCCTGTCCCACGCCCTCTAGCTGGGCCGACCCACGTCCCCAGCTGTGATTTTCCTAAACCGACCTCCTCACCCAAGCCCGACGGCGACCCTCGCCACCGAGGCGGCCCGGGCCTGCAGCTGCCCCCGGCCCGCAGAGGCCTTCGCCCCGTCGGTAACCGCGGGCCAGCACGGTCCCATCCCCCTCCCGGGGACGGCCCTACTCCCAG